AGAATTAATAGAATCTCTTTTAAAAACTAAAGAAAAAATTAACAAACCAAACATTGAAAATGTTTACTCTATGTCAGAAGTTCTAAAAAGACAAAAGAGTCAGGCTTCCACATCAAAATCTCTTTCTTTATCAAATTTAAATAAAGAGATTCAAGATTTGAAAAAAGAAAATCTTAAACAAGAAAATAAATATATTTTAAATAAAATAAATAATGAAGAAAATCAAAAAACTCTGATAATATCATAAAATAACTCTGATAAAGAACAAGAGAATGAAACTACAGAATTTCTACAAATCTTAAAACAAGTTACCTCTCAAAAGTGGTATATAAAAATTACCTTAGCTATAGCAGAACAGGTTGTCATACCAGATCTTATAGCTTTAGTAGATAGTGGTGCAGACTTAAATTGTATCAATGAAGGAATCATACCTTCAAATTTTTTTGAAATTACTACTCAGACTCTGAGTAGCGCTAATGGAAACAATTTAAATGTTAAATATAAATTACCGAATGCTCACATATGTGTTCAAGGAACTTGTATTCCTATTCCTTGTGTTCTTGTTAAAAACTTATCGCAAGACATTATATTAGGAACTCCCTTTTTACATAATATTATGCCTATTGTTCAGGTAGATACTAAAGGTATTAAAGCTACTTATAAAAACAATGAAATAATATTTGAATTTATTTCTGATCCTCAAACTCGTTTATTAAACGAAGTTAGAAAAGTTATTCTCAAAGAAAACCAAATTAATTTTCTCAAAGAAGAAGTTTTATTTGTTCAAATAGAAGAACAAATTAAAATGAAAAAAGGGTTAATAACTCAAATAGAAGATAAATTTAAGATTACTATATGTAGTAATCTACCAAATGCATTTTGGGAAAGAAAGAAACATATTGTTTCTTTACCATATATTGATAATTTTAATGAAAAGGATATTCCTACAAAATCTCGACATTGTCAGATGAATAAAGAATATCTAGATTTATGTAAAAATGAAATAAGCTCTCTTATAGAGAAAAAATTAATAAGGAAATCATATTCTCCTTAGAGTTGTACAGCATTTTATGTTAATAATGCTGTTGAACAAGAAAGAGGAGTACCTCGTCTTGTTATTAATTATAAACATTTAAATACAGTCTTAAAATGGATAAGATATCCTATTCCTAATAAAAGAGACTTATTAAATCGCATTAACAATGCAAAAATATTTTCTAAATTTGACTTAAAGTCAGGGTATTGGCAAATCCAAATTGAAGAAAAAGATAGATATAAAACAGCTTTTGTTGTTCCATTCGGACATTATGAATGGAATGTTATGCCCTTTGGATTAAAAAATACCCCTTCTGAGTTTCAAAATATCATGAATGAAGTATTCATTCCTTATACGGATTTCATTCTGTCATATATAGATGACATATTAATATTTTCTCAAAATTTTGACCAACATGTCAAACATTTAGAAATATTTAGGACTTTAGCTATAAAAAATGGATTAGCAGTATCTGTTCCTAAAATGAAGTTATTTCTTACCCAAGTGAGATTTTTAGGTCATAATATCCACAAAGGAACAATAATTCCTATCGATCGAAGTATAGAGTTTGCCTCTAAATTTTCTGATATTATTAGTGATAATAAGCAACTACAAAGATTTTTAGGCTCCCTTAATTATATTGCTGATTATTATAAAAATCTAGCTCAAGATACAGCTATTTTATATAATAGATTAAAAAAGAACGCTAAACCATGGTCAGATCAGCATACTGAAGCTGTTAAAAGAATAAAAACAAATGTTAAATGTTTACCTTGTACTCATTTAACAAACACTGAATGGTTTAAAATTGTGGAAACAGATGCCTCTAATTTAGGCTATGGAGGTATCCTTAAACAAATTAATCCAACTAATAATAAAGAGCAATTAATTAGATTTACCTCTGGTAAATGGGATAAAGCCCAATTTAATTATTCCACTATAAAGAAAGAAATGCTTTCTATCATTAAATGCTTATCTAAATTTAGAGATGACATTCTTAATCAAGAATTTCTTCTACGAATTGACTGTAGCTCTGCTAAAAGTGTAATTGAAAAAGATGTTAAAAATCTTATTTCTAAACAAATCTTTGCCAGGTGGCAAGCTGAACGAGCTATGTATGAATTTAAAGATGAATGAGTGCTCGCCCGGGGCTCAGCTCATTGGGACCTGTCAACTTTACATAATTATAATCTTTTCCTATGTATTATATATATATATATATATATATATATATATATATATATATATATATATATATATATATATATATATATATATATATATATATAAGAAAGTCTTTAACCTAAATAAAATCAATACTCATGATACAAATTCAAAGCGCTGGGTGTATAACTACTAATTAAAAGTAAGAAGAATATATATATATATATATATATATATATATATATATATATATATATATATATATATAGAGAAAAATATGGTATGTTTGGTACCAAGCACAAATTTTGTAATTGGTAGTGATGTGACATATCCCATCCACTCACTACCCATGTGAATTTGTTCCACATTTGAATGAGTGGAGGGGATTGACACCTCACTACCAAGCATACTTTTTTGTGCTTGGTACGCGACCAAGCATACCCATATTTCTCTCTCTCTCTCTCTCTCTATATATATATATATATATTATATATATATATAATATATAATATATATATATATAGAGAGAGAGAGAGAGAGCCAATATGGGTATGCTTGGTACCAAGCACAAAAAGTTGTGCTTGGTAGTGATGTGTCACATCCCCCTCCACTCATTCAAATATGGGGACCACATTCAATGGTAGTGAGTGGATGAGGATGTGACACATCACTACCAAGCACAAAATTTGTGCTTGGTACCAAGCATACCCATTTTTCTCATATATATATATATATATATATATATTATATATATATATATTATATAATATATATATATTATATATATAATATATAAAAAGTATAAATTAGCTTTTAAGGTTTTATAATATGTATAGTAGCTATTAAATATTTAAACCTTGCATATTCATTATATGTGAAGCGGATGTTAAACAGTAGGGATTGATTATTACTATTTATATTTACATAAAAGGATGTGGATTTGAAGTAAATTGGGATATGTTGAATATCCATCGACATCCTAGGAAAATCTAATCACCAGGTGTAACGATAAAGCATGTGTATGTATCTCTGTTGGTTAGAAGGCAACAAACTTGACAAGTTGTTTTAGATAGATATCTTACCGGTTTGACTAACTCCATTGCCTTAAAAATCCACAATATGTGAAAAATTACATTTTAAAACAACTTAGTGATACAAATATACGACATATACGCTTCAGATAGATTGGTCCATTAAGTTGAATAAGATAGTTTAAAGAACAAAGGAATAAAAGAAGAGTACCGATTTAGAAAAACAAACTAAAAAGATTCATGAAACCTGATTTAAGTGTAAGTTTATCTGACCAACAAAGGAATTATGGAATTCAAGAAGAGCACCAATTTTGAACAGTGAACTAACAAGATTCATGAACTAAAAGGAAGAGTAAGGCTAGATCACTGGTGCTCTGATTGCCTTATTTAAGTGTAGTACAATACTGTAGCAAAATAAGGATACATGATAAATAGGTTAGAACTTAGAAGCACAGAAACAACAAGGTAGCCCTCTGATCGGCCTAAGACCAAGAATTATGGAACAATTTGAAACATGCATTGATCAAAATTTAACCTTAATGCTTGTTTTTCATCACTTCCAGACTTCTAGCTCTCTTCTGTCTTCACACCTCTCCTCTATGTAGTTCAGTTACCAATCATAATCGATGCCGTCATTAGTCATCAACATCTAGACGAAGTTATGATATAATTCTCAAAGACGTTTACTCATGTTGCAACAAACACAAAACTACACTAGAGATGGCCCAAATGGCCCAAACACCAATACTTAGAAACATGAAAACAAATGATGTGATTGCTCTCATTTTGTAGGTTTCATCACGTAAGAGACCTAGGAGAATTCACCCTCCAAAAGCTAGTTGTTAGCAGGAGGAAACCCAAATCTCTTATAAACCCACAGTTGATTCTGTATGTAGTTAATGTAGCACTAAATAGACCCTAATATACAGCCATGCTTCTGCAGTCCCAACGCTCATGCGGGCTGGCTGTCCACTAAATAATGACACTACAATACCACCACCGGCCTTTTAAGATAATATAAGATAGCTCATTCGTAGATTAACCAAAAAACAGATAGGATAGCCTCACTGTCTTGATATCATGATGCAAGAGACCTAGGAGACTCACACCCAAAAGCTAATTGTTAAGAGGGGGGAGGGAGCCGACGTCTCTTATAAACCCACAACTGGTTCCGCATTTAGCCAATGTATGGCTAACTGGACAATAAACATACTGCCAGGCTTCTCGCGGTCCGCCAATGTGGTCTGGTTATGCAGTCTAATCTAGTCTCGGTCCAACACTGCAATACCCATGTCACTTCTTTAGTTTTGCACTGAACTAGTCAGAATGACAATGCAATATCGGCATCACCATGTACACCGCTCGATTGCAACAAGAAAGAATGGCATTGGCTCTAATACCATTCGAAAGGGTCATTGGGGAAGTCATCCCTAAAAGCAAGTAGTTTAAGGGAGAGAGAACTAAATCCCTAATAAACCTAGAAGGACCCCTTAACGCTTAACTAAGCACATAAATAGGACACAAATCAAATACGTGTGAAAGTGAAAATGATATGATCAGCCCCTTGTGATCAATCCATTACATCAAATAATCTGCATGCATTGTCAAGCATACAAACAGCAGTCACCAAGAAATCCAATATAATCAAATGCCGAAAATTTCAAAATTGCCCACTCACATTGATGCAATGACATTAAACAATAAACATCTTAAAACAACAAAAAAGAAAAAAAAAAAAAGGGGGAGAAAAGGGAGAGATTTTGGCTAACCCTTTCAGGCTGAACCGAATCGAACACGTAAACCTCCCCCTGAAACGACAGCGTCAACTGACTCGACAGCG